TTGCGTAGTGACAAATAGTGTTAAGGCAGGAACAGACATGGAGTCGAAAGGTGGGCACGAAGTCGGGTGTTCTCTTTGTTCTCCTCACTACATCTTCCATGCTTTTGGAAGCTGCCCAACCAACTCGCTTTCCTCTGGTTAACTGCGGAGCTAAAATTTTCACCATGCTGACTTTCTGGCCTACATAGACGTAGCTCCACCATTCAGAGGAATTCAATTCATTCTGTTGAGCGTGAATGAGGCCTACGAATTCAACCCGTTCTTCATGAACGTCATTTCTGTGCGATTCAGTGGCAGAACAGTCATCAAAGTTCCTCATTTCGCAGGAGTCGTCAAAGTTGGTATTATTAAAACGATATTATCAGCAAAGTGAAGATGGTGTAATTACCGACCACCGATTTTCACTCCCTTTTATCCCATTTTAATGTGCGCATGATGTTCTGGAAGGTGCACTAAATAATTTCAGCGAGGTGGTATCGCTATACCTAACCCCTCTTTTTATGTTGATGTTAATACCGTTTTAGAACGGTGATATTTTGATGGTCGAATTTTTACATAGTCCGCGAAAAATTTTTGTATGCTGGGTACGGTTGTTCTGGATCACCAGGGCTTCCATGACTGATCATGACTGACTGATCATCCCTCCTGAACAACACACGGGTTGTTCAATGGCGCGGTTCTGAGGAAGTCGACGTCGCCGGAACGTCAGCCATTGAACAACGTCAATAACAACAATAAGAGCATCTATACCAATCTCGCGTCAGCTGAAAAAAGGGCGGTTTGTAAGAACATATGTATAAATATATCGGTCATTATACCAAGGTTTATAAATAGCTGATCTCATGTGGATTTGGTTCACCGTACCGAATACCTTTCGAGTGACTGCCTGCTATCATGTCTGTCCCTCGTCCAGCGTTCAGTCAACCCTGCTTGGGATGAAATTCATAAAAAAAATAATAGCGAGCGGATTGAGCGATATTTCTCTTTATCGTGAAATTACTCTTGCTGGTTTTCTACTGAGTAGGAACGTCCTATTCTGACGGGTAAAGTGTGAAGAGCTGAGCGTGTGAAGGGCCGAACAAGTGTGTTAATGAGGACTAGCGGAAGGTTCTTCAGGTGTATAGGTTACATCGTATTTGGACTAGGTGTTGTATGATTTCTCACCGACGAGGTGAGGTTTCAATGATGGAAGGAGTACATAGCTTTTAAAGGATCCGAGTAGTAATCGTAGATGATTTTCTTCATTGCCTTTTCTCTAAACGCCGTAACTCCTCTTCGTGCTCTGCGGAATGCGATTGGGAATGGTCTTCCTATTCAGCTGCTGCCATTACTACTGCTTCACTGTTTTTGAGATCTTCTTTTATTCTTTTTCTGCAGTGTTTTACATGTTCCACTGCGAACTGGCTGCTGTTTATGGCTCGTACAATTGACAGTGGGGTATTGACTTGTATGCTGCTGGAGACAGACATCTCTTGGTAACTTTAGCGTTTTCACCTTTCATAGCGCTAACGTGAAGAAGTTGAAGAAGCCCGTCGTGTTACTCATCGTTGTTGCATTTTTTTGCAATAAGGGCATTTTTCCAAGAGCCGACTAGTGATTTAAACAAGTCCCAGTTTATGGTGGTTTCGAGAACTCATTTCATGAACTTAGCTGCTTTCTCTGCTTTCCGTGAGAAATGGAATCTTGCGCGGAGGCAATGGATTGACTAAACCCGTGAAGAATCTTGAGAAATCAGCGACACCAGCTAGCAAAACCTTCGATTTACTATGAGGTGGTCTATGTCGTTATGGTACTCTCCATTAGGATACTCCCATTACCAGCGCTTAGAGTGGGGCTTCCGGAATTGTGAGTTAACATGAAAGGTTTTGTTTGTTGTGGTAAATTCGGATAGCCCCTCCCCTTCTCGTTCCATTCCTATCCGTGGGTTCAACGTGGCGTTCCTCAGATATTCCGAGCAACAGTCCTCTAGTTTCAAATAGGCGGTGTCTTGTTGTCTGAGCCTGCCCCATTACGTCGTACTTTACCCTCGTTGTCTGCATGATTAGGTCATCTATAGAGGGCCCAGATGGAAATGAGCGTGCATTGTATGCGCAGATCGTCACTTTGTCAATCGAAATGTAGGGTCTAAAGTGGAGCTAAAATTTTAGCAGCCACTCTATGCTGGTCCTACTTAACGCTGCCGCGTCGGGGGTTCTTTTGGGGTCAGGTGAATGATGTATATTTATGCTATTGCGTTTTGCATTTGATATTCACGTATAGCCTGCTGACTTGTGAGGATGGGGGTTAGATATATTCACGGGTAGTTTAGCAGTCTTTCCCAAAGTAGAGTAAGACCTTATTTGTTGGATACGACTGCTAACCGCCTCCTATGTACTTCCCAATCACTTGATTGCAGCCTTTCGGCCGAATTGACTCATAGAATACAACCCACATAAGCGACAGTTCACCTGCACACGCATGCGTAAGTATGTCCTCGTAAAGACAGAAGACATACGAATAATCAGCTTAGCAAAACAGGAAGTCCATCCACTATATTCACTTGTGTCTCAAGGAAGCACAAAGTCGCGTTTGAACTGCGTTTACCTACCTCTCAGCCACCCACTGTCCCTGACCCAACTGCAGGAGATCTCTCTGTGGGAGTTATCCGTGAATAATGGTAGTAATAATCAAGGGCAATGATGAAAATCGTATTTATTAATATATTATTTATTTATTTACATGGGTCATCATCGTATCTACTACGCGGATTCCAGCAATTCTTGCATTTGATTCATTTTCCTCGCACTAATCGTCCACAGTGGTCTTCGAGCATTTCGCGTGTTGTTTCTGCTACTGCTTTGAGGATTTCACCTTTTTCATGAATGCCATAGCATGGAATGTTGGTCGAGTCCACTCTACCAGGGATCTTTGGAATAGCGAAGTTAGGGCGCCCTTCGTGAATTCGAGGAGAGCGTTGGAGGAGGAGGTCAGATTAGCGTTTTTGCTTCTCTGATCGACGTTATCACTAGCCACTGCGCTACCGCCTCCTTCATCCTTTCCCCTGTCTCCTTTATAGGTGACTGAAATCATATCTGGGCTGTATAATGACTCGTAGTGGTATTTCGCTATATCAAGTCGATGCTGGTCTCCTAAATCGGATACCAAGTCTGCTCATCATGATGGAGGACTTGATGAGCCCGTGGAGCGGCATCTATCCAACGACGTCTTTACTATTGCACCTTTAACCACTGCCGTACAGGCACCCAACGATCATAACAGTAACAATGGTGATAACACAAACCATAGTTGTTCATGTAATACCCTACCGTGGAAAATTGTAGTAGGGAGTAAATAAAAGGTAAACATTGTGGTTCCGACTGCAGCCTCAGCTTAACTGAATTGACTGCCGATTTGCGCTCCCCTGATCAGCTCCGTTGCCTGCGATTGTTGATGCACTGCTAGGTAGAAAACTAGCTGAGAGAAAAGTGAAACGACGGAATCGCATGGTGTAGTGGTGAATGCGTTAACTCCCGAAGGAGTAACATCGAGTTCGATCCCTACCGCCAAAGTCTGCGGTCCGGAGTTTACACAGAATGCCTCAGCATTATTGTAGTTGCATCTCACATAATACCCTTCCTGCCATGAAAGATACTAGTAACCAGTAGATGAAAAGTTAATATAATAACCATAATATTGACAACAATAATATTAGTGAAATATTTTGGACTCTTACAAAATGCGCGTCAAAAAAGGTTTACATAAAAACATTGGCAATGATATGTTATTCCTTACTCAATGAAGAAAATTGCAGTCTAGTACTTGCTTTGAAATGCTGAAGTTTTTCGCTAATATTTCTATCTTCGAACAATAAAGGTAAGGTTAGTTGTGGACGTTCCACCGCCTACTGGAAGGTCGGTAGACCGTTATATAAATACTGTTAACGTTTTTCTATAGGAAGCTATGGAAAATTTAAGATGACAAATGAGTGAGCTGATTGTTATTAATGGTGTTTATAAACACCTCCTAGATATTTTTTAGCATAATATTGCCTTTCAACGGAAGACCGCTTAAGGCTTAACAATTCTCTCCTGGTCAATACAACATTGGTTTGCTCATTGGCAAGCAGCACCTGCCATCATAACTTTGGATCTTGATTCACCATTTCGTTCGGCGTATTCGTAAATAGAAAGCGTGCGTGAGGGCTCACGCCCGTGATTTGGATGAATGACATGGAGTTTAATTTCTTGTCACGTTTCCCTAGTTATTTATTCGATTTACACATTCACATCTCATCCAAGCACAGTTGTTGAACATTTGGTTCGGACACTTTGTCAAACCTAGTAATGCATTCATAGAAGTCCTCATTGCTCAAACTTCCACTCGTTGTATTGTCCTCGAGGGATCGACGGGCGAATCGCAAGATTGGCTGCCGTTATAGGGATCCCTGTAGATCCCGAAGAGACTAAGCCGCAAAGGCAGCAAAATTGCCTGAGAACCACAAGCGCTGACAACTGCCTGTGATAACGACCTGTCGACGCTCTAGCAGGGCTAACCAAATTTCTGAGGAAAATCACATTCAACCACCGTAAACCGTCGTCATTGTGGAAAGAATTCAACGGATCCTTAAAATGCAGAATCAGCATGCGAAACCGAGTCATTGTTGCCAGACATTATCACATGATTTAGCTAAGAGACTATCAAAAACAACCGAAATTCAACTAAAAGTGTTTCATTACCTCCTTCGCATAACTAAAATTCTAACTGTTATCTAAACGGGAAACAATCCTACCTTCTTTCTATGATTTCAAAAATTCAATCTGCCAAATTTTACCAGCAAAATGAATGAATTTTATGTGACTCTTTGAAGATACAGGCATTTAACACTAAAAATCATTGGTGAGAAGGAACACACTTGATACGTCGTTAATATTAAATGATCGCAAAATTCAAACATGAGATAGCGATTGTTCACCAGGGGAATAAATTTACTCAAGCCATTAAATTCTATCGTCTAGGTATTCATGACAAAAAAGCGCACGAGAGATAGCAAGTCCATGATGAGTGAGTTCAAAGGAGGAGATCTGAACAAGTACACGGCGAAGACTTATGCCATCCAGAACGGTAACGAAGTTTTCGGTGGTGAGTTCATGCTGATTTGCACTGCGTAATAGCCACTAACTCCTTATGCATCCATTTCCTTTGAATTTCCTGTTGGATGCACTTGCACTTCGTTGTTCATCTCCTTAGAACATCACTGATAACAAGGTCGGTTCTAGTGACTGTTACTTGTTTTGATCTTTCAGTCTAGATAATAGACGAAAAATCCACATTTGGATGGATAACACAATTCTGTATAAGAAAATCGTAGATATCCACAGTGATTTAATCCCCTGACTTCAGCACTTCCTATTTGCGATAAATGTCGATACAAATTATTTTTAATGGAAAAGTGACCGGAGAAGAAGAGAGTTTGGTGAATTTCTGTAGAATATTACATTTGGTGAAATCTGAGTGGAACGACATAGGACTGCTTTTTCAGCTACGTATATTTTCCCAGAATTTTACAATATCTCGCTGTTTCTAAAATTTTTTTAATTTTATTATAATTGTTTACTGCTTATAGCTCATCTACGGATCTCTTTCATATAAAGCAAATCGACATTGATAATTCGAAAGGCTATGCGACGCGCCTCCGGAAATAAGCTAGAGGTTGAGCGGGCCCTGAAGCGATTATGTAGCACTTAGAGAGCTCGTAGGATAGTCTAGGCCATAGCCACAGATTTTTAATATTAGCGCACATAGTCGTGTGTACGTGAAAATATATAGGAAGTGGTTTTCCAAGAAATAAGCTCAACATCTACTTTGGAAAGCTTTCACCAGGTGAATGTGCTCAATCTCTAAACCCTGGATATTTACGCATGGCCAGTCATTCAACACAGACAATGGACATAAAAGGCATCATGTGAACAATGTAGGGTCTTGCGTCCGTCGAGCGAATAGAGTGTAATGGGCTAGTTTGACTCGCATCAAAGACTAAAGGCAACAAGTGCACAAGGGCCCTTAGTAATTACAAAACATTTAATGAAATTACAGTTGACTCACATGATGGAAGTGTAAAAATGATAGTATTTGTCGCCCAAAAGACGACATTTGCTCAGAACACAACCCTCTAGAAATACTGAATCGCGTGAGCTTAAAAGAGTTCCATGATACGATATACATGAAGTAAACTTCGTACTCGGAACACTTGGAATTATCCCAACAAAGGCCACTGATTTTTGGCTACACGTTTTGAAGCGTTGATTTAAGTGTGCTGATTAGTTTGAAGTTAGTTTAACTCGTAAATGTTAGTAATGATTTGAAAACAAGGTTATTCAATTCAACACACTTCCAAGATGTATCTTTCACCTTTTGCCATCACTTTATCTCGAAGGCCAAACTCTCTGAGAGCTCGGAAAATTTGCCGTTAAATGTTAGGCCAGATGCTCTAATAAAAATGACGAAGAACAGGCAAACCTATTGCGTTCGTTAGATGCTATATACTAAATGAATGGAAAAGCTTTGCTGCATTATTGAAACATTATTCTGTGCATAAAACTTTTCATCCTGAAAACACAAAGTGCGCTTTTGAATTTTCGTCCATGTTAAAAGCTATGCAATAAAGAGCATTTCCTTTTGTGATAAAATTCCCTCCAAAGCACGTTAGGCTTCCATTTGTGATTTACTGCTGGCGATTCATCACCGAGATTGATCGTCGGAATTGTCCAAATTTGTTACAGGGAGATTCATATGAACATCACATGAGGTTGGAACCTCATTGATGGAATGAGGTTCTTTACGATGGCAACTATGTCTAATGCTTGTTTAGAATTAATTGCTTGTTAAAAATCTGCTGAAAGAAAAATTAGCAACACGTGGAAGAAATTCCAGTCATAAATAAGGAAAACTGCTTCGCAGCATAATCCATGTTGAAATCACAGACTCTTGCCTTAAGTAATCATTCCTCGTTGAAGAAATTTCAACTCTTCCAACATCTAGATGTATTAACTGCTTCACAACAGTGCAGTTTAAAGCAAGTCATTGTACTCATTGCTCCTTGGTCACTAATCTCAATGAGGGAAAAAGTGGGCGTCAACGGGCGCTCTCTGTGGAATTGGGTGAATTGCCGTGGCCTATCACGTAAACCACTAGCTTTTCCGAATAACGTAAACGAATTCGTTCGTACGAGGTCTGTGGATCGCCCACTTTCTCGTGAACGCACATAAGTTCCGTCGACACGAGGTTTCATTCCCCAAATTCAACTAGTGGGGTGCTTGTGCGGAATACCTCAGGTGTCGATTGAAATACGCATTTTCCTATTTGATGCCACTGCCTTCAGACCAAAGTAAAGAACCTCCTCTAATTAGCACTGTATACTTATTAGTTTACCTATCGCGGTCTTCCACTGCATTTCAATACCTTCAGCTGCCTTAATATTTGTAATTATGAATAGAACAAGGAACGAATTGAGCCTCGTAAAAGCCAGAGGACGGAGATTCAGTCAGTTCGACTTCTCTAAATGTGAGTTCTTTTGTAAGATATTCTTTTTTTCCATCTTTAGTGTTATTTTTCTTGTAGACGTCGTTACCAAGAAAACGGGCATTTTCCTAAAAGTTATATGCACCGGTGCAAAATATCTGAGATTTGTCATGTTTCATTTATAGTTCATCTTAATGCCGGCTAAATCTGATCGGTGTTACTTAGATATTTCTCGGACTCTACTCTCTAGGGACATCCAATATCGATTGCCCGAAAGCATTTTTCGTTGGCATACTTTTGTTTTCTCCTAGCAGAGCGAAATCCAGCAACCATACAAAGACAAGAAAACAATGGAAACTTTCGAAAGTTGAGTTCCACCCATTTCCCACTTTTAAAAATGAGAATCATAGTCTAAGAAAAAGTTCAAATCACAGTTTTGCATTAAGAACTCGTCGTAATTAACCACTGCTCTTAAACTGCCCCCACAGGTTAGAATATCATGCAATTTTCCAGCGCTTAAGAAAGTAAATTTCAGCGTCCGAAACAGTGACAATTTTTGTTAACTGACTATTATAGCAGTGGTATGAATGACCACTTGTAGTTTACCCAATAGAGTTTACAACAAATTCGCCTTGACTGGTCAAACCGCAATACCTTCAGCATCATTGAAGGAGTTTGAAATGCTTCATAGAAGATTGTACACATTTCTACACGGAAAAAAGCGATAGACATAATGTTTGAAGACGGCACCGCTATGGGCATAAGGAAGTGATATCTCATATTAATAAGAATAATTAGTGGATTTGATAGAGAAATATTGCGATAATTTAGCATATTTCTCGCGAACTCGTCAGGCTACGGTATTTTCACTCTTCCCTTAAAACCGACACGAGTTGTCGTCGAAGCGAGCAATCAGATTCGCGACAAAAGTAGTGTTACTTCGATGAAGTTTGATCTTCTTCTCTCTTTGTCAATATTTCTACGTGAAATAATCTTGCTTCATTGAAACCCAGAAATTTTTAGTCCTTTCAAGTCTCTAAAAGCTGAAATTGGTAAGTAGTGTAAGAAATGGGATTGCGGTCAGTAAATTATCGAGTTCTATGGCAGCAATATTTGTTGAAAACTGACAAGATGAAACTGACTGAAATCTCTCTACTCGTTTTTTCTCCAGTGTACACACTATCTAAACACCTGCACTCTAACCGACGTGCTGATTGGGTCGTAATAATCGGAATACTTAAGAAAGTTATAGATAATTTCGAAAGTGAATGCATACCTCAGTTGCTAGAGGATTACAGCAGAGTGGTGCTAAAACTGTTGAATGTAAGCAGAAAAACCCGAAAAACGATAACACACTGGTCGAACTTACGTACTATTAGTGTTTATGACTAGATGATGGCAATATAACATTTCCACACGCGCATCATTTTATCTACTACTGTGACGTTTTCATCTTCACTCGAAACAGTGTGTGCTCCACTTTACCGTTTCATGCCACCTTTTTTAGTAGAATGAGTAAAAGGCACATATCTTTTTTTGTATTAATACTGAGCTCATGACAAAATGGAGGGGCAAAGGATTGGCCTGGATCGTAGCACAACATTCGGCACTCATGACGGCATAGTTTTACGTTCTTGTTACCAACTGGTTCTAATTGAGAAAAAATAAGAATTTTATTTTAATGATGCTGAGATATTTGCAAGACTCCGGACCACAGGCATCTGCGGTGGAGAACGGACGCGCTATTGTCCTTTCAGGGGAGTAACGTGTTTACCACCACACCATGCGGGTCCTTCATTTCGCCTGTCTCTCAACTAGTTCTATCGATCACTGCCATCAGCAATTACCAGTCAGCGGGATTGATCTAAGGAGCCCAAATCGGAAACGAACCCAGTTAAGCTGAGGCTGCAGTTATAATCGTAAATTCTAACTTATTATTTACTACCTACTCTTTTTAATGGCAGGGTATGTTGCGAAATATAACCTCTATAATGCTGAGATATTTGCAAAACTCTGGACCGCAGGTGCCTGCGGTGGGAAACGAACACGCTATTGTCCTTTCCGGGAAGTAACGCGTGCTAGAACTAGCTGAGAGATAGGCGAAATGAAGGACCCGCATGGTGTGGTGGTAAACACGTTACTCCCTTGAAAGGACAATAGCGCGTCCGTTCCCCACAGTAGATGCCTATGGTCCGGGGTTTTGCAAATATCTCGGCATCATTAAAGTTATATTTCGCAATATATACCCTGCCGTTAAAAAGAGTAGGCAATAAGTAATAAGTTAAAATTAAGGACTTAATCATGCTACTAATAAACAATGCTTAGTGGCGTTCCAGTGGCCTGCGAGCACAATGGCGGAGAACAAAGGCTGATATTCCAGATAAGGCAGATCTCACTATTACACCTACTGAATAGCTAGTAAATGGGTCCATATGACTAGGTTTGGAGCGAACATTCGCATCCATTCATGTATGCTCTGACAATAAATCTATGCTAGTTTGAAGATTTGCAGTAAGCAACAAAAAAGAGAACATATTCTTTCAAGCAATCTTCTTTCTTTAACACATAACGACCCAAGCACATTGATCACAAAATATTCGGTGCAGAGACGATCACAGTTCTTGGGTTCAAGGTAGCATAGCTCAGCTCA